TGCATGGACAGATATGAAGAGAAGAAGTATTATGAACTGTGCACAAATACTAGTGAGGGCACAACATTTATCAAGTCCGTGGAGATGTCAAATGTGTCACACACTAGTGAAGTTATCTATGAGCTCATTGACAAGGCAATTGAGGACGAGGTGCTGAAAATGTAGTGCAAGTTGTTGTGAGATAATAATGCCTCTAACAATATGGGAGCAAAGGCATTCTTTGCACCTCAAGAGGCCAAACATATTTTGGACTTCTTGTGCAACTCATACCATCAATCGATGTTGCAAGGTATTGGCAACCTTGCAAAATTCAAGAAGATAATTGATCTAGCAAAATCATTCACTATCTTTGTCTATGGTCACCACAGGACACGGCATGTTTGAGGTCCTTCACCTTGAAGAGAGAAATCATAAGGCCGGGGTAAACTAGATTTGCTACGACCTATCTTACAATCGCAAAGTATGATGGAAAAGAAGGATTGTCTAAGGAAGATGGTGGTTGACTCAAAGTGGTATGACTTACAGGCGAAGACCAAAAAGGGCAAAGATGCTACTGACCCACAAGTGTTGAACATACAATTTTGGAGAAATGTGGCCCTTTGTTTGAAGATCTTTGAGCCCTTGGTGAAAGTTCTACGTTTGGTTGATGGAGATGTGAAGCCATCTATGGGTTTTGTGTATGGAGAACTTCTCAAGACAAAGAAGGAGATCAAGGAGGCATTTGGAAATGTGGAAAGGAACTACAAAGAAGTGATGGCTATTGTTGACAAGAAGATGAAAGATAGGCTTGATTCTCCATTACATGTGGTGCGCATATATATTTGAATCCTTAGTACGATTATAGCAATCCAAAGCCAATCTTCAAAGATTCAATGAAGAATGGAAAAATTCATGGAGTGTGTGGAGACCTTTTACTATCTGAGATGATGACAAGGGATATAGAAACATTAATGTGGACTTGGAGCAGTTCCAGAAGAGACTAGGAAACTTCTCAAAGAAGTCGGCAAGGAGCTGCGAACGCTCGAGTTCAACCGGTGTAAGCTTTTGCATCATTTTCTGTCCAAATTTGTCTGCAATTAATTCTATACAAAATTTTACGCAATCAAAACAGCACATGTTTGAGACATTTGACTTCATTTTTTAGCATCTTGGTGGAGGCTTTATGGAGGTGGAGCACCAGATTTGCAATATATGGCTATTAGAATCCTCTCACTGACTTCTAGTTCATCTAGATGTGAAAGGAATTGGAGCATATTTGAACAAAGTTAGTTTGTAGTCTCCACTAGTTGCTCTCTATTCCCAATTTAATGTACATGTGTTGATGTTGGAATTGTATTTTATAATACTGACATCATTAAAGAGAAGGAATAGGTCGACAACAGAGCGCCTCAACTCTCTGGTATTCATCCAATTCAATAATAAATTGATGTCCAAGAAGGAGAAGATTAAAAGAAAGAGTAACTATGAAGTGCTACTAAGTAGTGATGCTTGTGAAGCTCAAGGATTTTTCTATGAAGGAGGGATGATCATGCATTGGTTGTCTTCGTGGATGAGGAAGATGAGCTAGAACAAATGCCGAGGCAGGGGATACCATGGAGTGTCCATGGAGATGCAATGGGAACTAATGAACGACTTCAACCTCGAAGGAGTGCAAGAGTGGCTAGAGAGGTGGATGAATAAGAGTGGGAATCGATCCTCAAGATCCCGACTATCAAGATGATGACATTGCCTATGAGGATGATGAGGATGAAGAAGCAATTCTAAATTGCAATGCATTTTGCGGAGTGAGGACTGAGGAGATTGCATGATGGCAGCAGAAGCAGCAGCAGAGGGTGCCAAGTTATCTAAATATTAATATCTACTTATCTAGTTATCTTTAATTTGTGTGTGAACCATAAGACCATTATTGTGTGTTGTATTGTCTTTATCATCGCCTACTACTATCTTTAATTTGTGAGTTGTGGATTGTGTGTATATTTTCTTGTGATATTTTGCCTTGTGTTGCTGCCTGCTGCCCTGTTTTTTGGAAGCTTGGATGTACATGGAGTCATGTACAATATTGACCAGAATTGATGCCTTGTGCTGCTGCCCTGTTCTTGTGCTGCTGCCCTGTTGTTTGCTAGATCAATTTTGCCTTGTGCTGCTACCCTCATAGATGAGTTTCTATTCTTTACCTATTATTTGAATTTTCTGTTTCCAGATTATTAAATTGTCTCTCTTTGATTGTTAGCTGCTGTTCAATGCAAGAAACCAAGGAGGAAAGGAACTCATGTCGAAAACAAGTGTGCAGCAAAAGGTATGATCACTATTATTACTTCAAGTTGTGTTATTAGTACTGACTTTGCTCTCAGTATCACAAAAATTAAAAAAAACAAAAACATTTAATCACGTTTAATCTCGTTTAAACTTCCTAAACTCTAAACTTTAGGCTAGCGCATGCCCAACGCACAACGTTTTTCAAAACATTGGTTTTGGGAACTCTCGAGATCGAGATACTCAGATGGTGCCATTAGCTGTGCACTAGCATATTGCCCGTGCTAATGCTACGGTAACATTTAGGTGAACACAACTTAAACAACCAAAATAGTATGAATATTGCCCGTGCTAAGGCGCACTTTAGAGAGTCATTCTCGTCTTCTATTTTTGGCTAGCGAAAAATCCGGAATAGAATATGGCTAGATTTGGATGACTATTTAGAAAAGCTGTTGGAGGGTAGTTTTTCACCAAAATCTCTATTCCTTTTATCTAGGAAGGATATGAAGAGTCGCTTAGAGATGCTCTAACCTCGGCGATGCTTTAGATTTTGCTCCACACGTGCTCTCCAGCATCTCCTCCTGCGGCCGCGCTACCCGCAGAGCCCGGCTACCTGCATTGCAGAATTCCCGTTGGTTCCCAAACAAACAAATATTTGTATCTATATCTTCAACAACAACAAAGCCTTTAAGTCCTTGATTAAATTTTTAACAAAAAAGGGCGCAATTCCTAGAAAACAGAATTGCCAAAGCTTAAGCTTCTGAAGACTTTTCAATCGTGCCGAGGAATCACTTATATGTCACCCCATTATAAATTGGCCCCATGTAACAATTACTTTTTGTCCAGATCTCTCCTAATGTTTCTCAAAATTTGCCCCAAATCTACTCATACTTTAACGCAACATATCAGTGGAACTTTCGAATGCAAATGCAATAAGCTAATACAGGTCTGCATAAAAAGTCTTACTTGATCTGTTGATGGCGGCCTCACTGTCCTCGCCGAGCAGGAGCTTCGCGAAGCGCTCCTTCATCATGTCGATCTCTGGCGCATGGAGTCTAGGCTGCCATTTACTCAAGCTGCAACAGAAATAATTTGGCATTAAAAAATACACACAAATGAAATACAGAGATCTAAGGAAAGCTGCAACAGGAAACCAAATATCAGCATGCTATGCAATGCAGCTGCATCAGGAAACCAAATATCAGCATGCTATGCAATGGAATTTCTGTTTTGCCAACATAAAAGAAACTTATCTGAGTGCTAAAGGATCACAGATTCACACTTCACAGTGTACAATGCCAAAAGAGCATCTTTACCAGGTTTCAAGCCTCTGTGTATGTGTGTATCTAGTTGGCTAGGCCAAATGCTGTTCAGATAATTTTTCAGTGACATCCCTGGTAGTAGCTCAATAACAATCACCACCAATGGTCCCTTCGCAGCTCCACTGAACTGCATGAGTGCACAAACAGTTGTGAGAAGGTCCCCAAAAAATCTCAATTTATGTAGCCACACAAGCATGCCATTCCGATCAGGAAGTACCTTGACAAGATTCTCATGTTTGAACTACTTAGTTAATTGTGGTCTGTCAAAGCACTAAACTGAGCACTGAAATTTCAGTTTTTCCCAATATTTCCTTGTGCATCTGGCCATCTTATTGAACCCACAAGCCAATCCAACATACATTCAATTAGCTGAATCCATGGGCTCACAGGTACCATCAAATAGAAATATCGTCGACCATGTTTTCATATTGAATAAACAAATTACATCTGCAAGGGCAGTAGCTCCAACAAGTTAGAAAAAGATGGGACAAAATCCAAAAAATGAAAATTAAATTACGTTACGGAATAATCCTATCTAGTTTAGCCTGCAAATGGCATTGTCTCAAAGAAAGTAAATCTTCTGATCCAACAAATTTGCACTAAGTGAGAAAACTCAAAGTTCTCTATAGGATTCCCAAGAAAAAAAGAGGCTTGGGACAAATGCAGATACAGGTTAATAAACATATTTTCTTTCACTATGCTCGTAAGCCAGCACAGCCCATGAAAGAAATAGATATATAAGCAGGACACCATATTCCAGTGCTCTTAAGCCAAAGCAATCAAAACAGCGAACCTGAACATTGCTTTCCTCCATCAGAATCTCCTTTGCCTTCTCACAAAGGGCTCTGACCTGTACCATAAATTGCACTGGATCAGAACCTCCCTCCTCAGCAGAGCAAATCAATTGTGGATATTAATTCTACAGATCCACTAATCAGACGGTGGGATTTTTAACATCCTTGGAGCAGTTCTAGCCCCCCTAGCATTAGTATAAAATCGAGGGAGAAAACGTAATGTGGCTACCAAAGATCGTGGTGAAATGAGAAGACATAGTTGCTTTCAGTTGAAGCAGAGAAATTAATTCAACGTCAGAAACGCCAGAGGGGGGCTATTGTTAAGTTTCTTCAGCTTAAAAAAAGTAGGGTCCCGCTCAGATCACAACCACATCCTCAACTCGCAACCGCCCAGGCCCAGCACCCGTCCGAGCAAATCAAACGCCACCGCCAGCCATTTCCACGCCAACCAGCATCGGAACGCGGCCAGAGACCCGATCTCCCCCGGGACCCGTCCCCCAGCACTGCAATTCCGCCAGATCTGGTGAAAAGGCACCTCAAACCGAGAAGAGGGCGACGAAAAAGGCGTTACCTCGGGCTCAGCAAGCGGCTTGCACTGCATGAGCCGCTCGATCTGGTCGTCGAGGCCGCCATGGGTGCTGGTCATCTTGCCGCGGATGGAACCCTACATCTGGGCTCGCGGAGGCCCGGCCAGGAACTCATTGTCGTCCTCGTCCTCGTCTCCGGCGAAATCGAAGGTGAAATCTTTGCGCCCGGCGTTCGCAGCCACGAGGGAGCGGAAGGAGAAGACGACGTTGTGGACGTCGAACACCCAAGTGGCCAGGCTGAGGATTATGCTTCGTCCTCATCAGTCATTGATAAAACCTTGAGTCTCAATACAAAGTAATGGTTGGATGGGCAGTGGATGAAAAGAAGAGAAGATGGGTCGATGGGAGTTAGAGGACCTCCGAAAGTTTCCAAAATCATTGAATTTTTCAAGTCGCCGAAAAGAATTGGAAGCAGCAAAGAAGGATTTCTCCAACTGTTTTCATAAAATCATTCTCGGTGTTTCGGCACCGGCAAGTAAATTTGTATTTACGTCTTAACCCGAATAATACGCTCGGATGACACAAGAATTTTATACTGGTTTGGACGGAACGTCCCTACGGCCAGCTGCTCGTGTTACCGGCGTGGGTTTGTAATTGAAGTTACAAACAGACAAGAGAGGAAGCGGATCCCAAGTCTCGGGTGAAAAGGTCGAACGATGTTAAGTCTAGATGAGCTCGTTCAGTCGTGCCCCTCGTGGGGTGTCCTGCTTTTCCTTTTACAGGTGAAGGGGAAGATCGCGGATTACACGAGAGAAAGAGAGAGAAAAATGGAGGAGAAGAAGGCCTCCGGGGTGGCGGCGTCCTTCCTCTCCCTTATGGGGGTCCCGTCGGTTCTGTAGATGGCGACAGGGACGGCTCCACGTCGTGACCCTGTTCACTACTAGCTACACGCGGGCGTCGTCAGCCGGTCGTGGCGCTCCATTCCATCCCGACGGGCGGCATGGTCAACATGTGCTCATGTCCGAAGCCGTACGGGGGTTAGGCAGCACAACGTCGGCACGCCTGACACTGTTGGCTACGTGAGGCCTTAGGCGTGGCCCGTCATGGCCACGGGTCACGTCAAGGCGCGCCTACTCCCCTTCTAGTGTCAGAAGTTTGACCCTGGGTTCATACTCTCGGACCCGTAGTGGTTGGAGACAGTATGGACCCCCGTCGGGCGAGACAGATCCCGCGCCTAGAGGGGTCGGGCGAGACGGAGCCCGCGCCAGAGGGGTCAGACAACTCGGAGCCCGTGCCCCCGAGGTCAGGCGAGACGAAGCCCATGCCCTCGAGGTCGGGCGAGGCGAAGATCATGCCCGAGGGGTCTAGAGAGGCGGAGCCCGCCCCCGAGGGGTCGGGCGAGACAGAGCCCGTGCCCTCAGGGTCGGGTGAGACTTGAAATACGCCTCTGACCATCCGGGCGGATTATCGTTATGCTGCCATTGGCTTCCTTCTTCTGGGTATTCCTAAAACTGATACCCGACAGTAGCCCCCGAGCCTGCGGAGGAGTAGAATACTCCTTTGAAGGCTTTTTCCGTCTGTAAGGATTCCGAGGGGCTTGATCTCCCTTCGCGGCCCGCAGGATGTCTTGGTGGGGTTGCGGTTCCTTTCTACCGCGATCGGGCTCATGAGAGCATGCAGGTGCGGGATTTGGGGTGTCGAAAAGGTTTTCTCTTGATTCCGATCCTTCCCCAGGATTCGATCGATCCGCCATTGTCATGCAACCGCATATTCGGTCTCCTTGCGAGTCCATCTTCCCTCGAGCCCCCGCGCGTAGCAGGGATCCGGTCGAGGGGTCGGCTCATCTTGTGATCGTCCTCACTCAAGCGTTTTTTGATAAAACGGAGGGTTTGAGCCGTGCCATGTTTTCCTCGATGGACAAATCATGGTGCTCGGTGAGCTATTTAACAGGCTGGTCCGAGTGGGGCCCTGGCTTCCCATTCGCGGGGGTCCGGCATGGGTCAGCTGGTGACCGACTCCAAATTCCTGGCGGCCAGCCCATATAGTTCTTGGGTCCGTTCGACCGATCCCAAGGGCTCATTGCCTTTCTTCGAGGAAAAACCATGGACTGTGCTCTGGCCAAGACTCGAACGTGGGCCGGGATGCCCGTGGCGCTCGTGCCCTCGGGTATTGGCCGCTAGCAGGCCCATCCCTTACTGCCCTCGCTCTAAAGGTGCCCTAGAGCGGTTATGAACCCGTCGGTGGGCTAACCTTCGAACTCCTAGGCCATAATGGGTCATGGAGCGTTTTTAGCCTCGTATCCCTCCTTACCTGTAGCGGTTCTTGACCCGTCAAGTGAGACAACCGTCATCCAGCGCGTCCTTCGAGGGAGCGGCCAGAGGTGGCTTGCGCGCATTTTTTGGAGATGCGATGTGACGAGGTGCATAGATCTAGGCAGATGGTTCGCCCCCCGCTCCACCTTGCCTTATAAATAGGGTCCTTTCCCTTTATCCTAGATACGCCTAACCGTAGCCTTGCCCTCTCCGCTTCTCCGCCGCCAACGTTCGGATCTCTTGCACTCGCTCTTTTGTCGCCAGCGTTTGGATCTCTTGCCCTCGCTCTTCCGCCCTCGCTTCCATGGAGTCGTGGTATCGCTCCGACGTGACCCACGCGCGCATGGAGGGCCTCATCAAGTGTGGTCTTCTCTGTGGGAGGACCGACACGGCGGAGTGGCTCGTGCCCGGTCGTGAGGAGATGCCGGCACCGTCCGAAGGCTACGTCGTGTCTTTCGTGCTCTTCCATGAGCGCGGACTCATGATTCCTCCCCACCCGTTCTTTCGGGGGCTGCTACATCATTACCAGATCGAGTTGCAGCACCTGAACCACAACGGGATCCAGCACATCACGGCCTTCATCGTGCTATGCGAGGGATATCTGGGATCCAGCACATAACGACCTCCATCTCCCTATTCAAAGAAGAAGGATAGAGCTGGGGACCTGCCGGTACCGATGGGCTACGCTGGCATCCACCTCGGGGGCAGCGGTCCACCGAGTACATGCCCTACCAGCTGTCGAGGTTCAACAAGGGCTGGCATGCGCAATAGTTCTACGTGAAAAATGACCCCATCGCTACCTTGCCGGACTTCACCGGGCACCTAATCGAAGAGGCACCGCAGGTGTGGTCGTGGGGGCCTCCTGAGAAGAAAGAGAAGAGGATGCGCGACATCCTTGATGCCCTTGCATTTCTGAAGACCCTTGGCCTTCATGGGGCCGGTGTCATCGGGGCGCATCACGTGAGGAGGGTGGAGCCGCTGATGGTGTGCGCCCTCTCGCTGTATGGGATGACGCCCACGACAGCGAGGTCGACAGGACGGTGCTTGCCTAGGGGCCGCTCCACGACAGCGAGGTCACGCAGCGCATCAAGGTGGCGATGGAGGAGTGTGACGCCGTGTTCCTGATCCTGGGACATCCCACGATGCGGTCGGACGCGGGCTTAGCTGCTGCTGGCATTGGGCTTTCGGGCCTCCATCGCACCGCTGCCGGAGCACACGGCCGTGAGGGCGGCGAACCGTGCTGTGGATGAGCAGAGGAAGAAGAAGAAGGACGACAAGAAGGTGAGGCGGTGGGTGAAGGAGCGAGTGAAGTTGCAGCAAGGAAAGTGGTGGCAAGGCGAGGAGGAGGAGGAGGAGGAGGAGGAGGAGAAGAAGAAGAAGAAGAAGAAGAAGAAGAAGGTGATGGCTCCGGGTTGCCCGTCCAATGGGACAAATTGGGAGGAGGGGACGAGGACCCATCCCTGCCATAGGTGGGGCCTTTCCCATGGCATACCCAGGGTAGGAGGGGGAGGACGCACCCCCGGAGCTAGCGAAATCGAGCCGCCCTGCACTGTCTGGGCCTTCCGCGGCGCCCCCGGAGTCGACGCGAGTTGGGGCTCTCGCTCCATCCAAACCCTCTGATCAGAGGGAGGGCTTGAAGCGGTAGTGTGATGGTGAGTCACAGCTGGGGTCGGACGAGCCAACCCCAAAATTCACCGTCCGGTGGCGTCGAGGTAAGTCAAGAGTTTTTTCGTCCCTTCGTTTTAACGAACATTTCACCGTAGCTGACCGTCATGTCCCTCGCAGCATTGGAGGATGTGGGACTCTCCTATGGCTAGCACCGAAGAAGACCCTCATCCTTTGGCAGACACACTAGGAGTCGACTGGCGCCGCATCGGAGGTGAGCGGGAGTGGCAATGGGTGGCCACAGCATCTACCGGGGAGGCTCAGCCGATGGCTACGTCCATGGGGGAGCAGACGGAGGAGGGCACATCCAGGGCGCCTATGGTGGATGTGGCGTGGCCGGGTGCGGCCACGACATCACATGCGGAGACGGCGCAACCGGAGCTATCGTCCGCGCAGGCACAACCGGAACCATCGTCCTCACATGAGGCCATGTGTCGTGATGGGGGCTGAAGGAAGAGGGTGAGCCGAGGCGTCTTCGGCAGACATAGCGATGGGGTAGGCCTCCATGTCTGTGTCTCCCACCCCCTCTATCGTTAGAGGGGCCACTCTAGAGGAGTCACTGCCGTAGGAGGGGTCAGTGCTGCTTGGGTTCGGCGTGGGTCCATTCCTGGCTCTGGTCCAGGTGGGCAACGACACGCATGTGTAGGGAGGACCTCAGGTCCGATGGGCTGACCGGCGGGATTTGATGGCGACACTCTTCACCCTTGACGACACCGCGGAGGTGAGGGAGTGGGAGAGCGTCCACACAGGGGTCGGGGCCATGGTCAATGCCCTGACCACCATGCTAGACTCGCTGCGCGACGTCATCACTCCGGTTAAGGGCAGGTATGATGTGTCCGTGTTTTTGACCTTCATCTTCCCTTTTCATACCTTGAACTCACAACCTCTTCATAGTCCCTTATGGCTCGCAGTTGGGAGAAGTCCCTATTCCTTCATCACGAGAAGGACATTTGGGACCGACTCGTCGAAGAGAGGCGGCTGCGTGAGGAGCTGGAAACACAACTTCCTGCCACCCGTCAAGAGGTGGATTGAACTCCTAGAGGGCGAGCTCAAGGGGGAGAGGGACCTAAAGGTCGTAGTAGAGGGCGTGGCCACCACGCTTACCACGGAGGTCGCCCAGTGTCAGGAAGAGATCTAGCACCTGGATGCAGAGGTGGCCCGGTAGCTTGATAAGGCGCGTAAGCTCCGGGCGGATGTGGACGGTAAGCCTCTAGTTTTCCCTTGTTGTCTTTCTCCCTAGAATCTATGGTAGGCCTTTTGACATGGACGGTGTGTGACTTGGACAGGTCTCAATGACAAGCTTGGGGCGGAGGTGATGAAGAGCGGCGGCCTAGAGAAGGAGCTCGGTGAAGTGAAGGCCTCCCTCCTAAAGGAGAGTAACG